TATATATCTTAAATTCTCACTCAATTGATTGTATAGTATCGTTTTAAACCTTCACATGGTTCTGCTCTGAGTAAAACACTTGGTACAATACGTGCTGATAAAGATGTTAATCGTAATGAAACGGCACTATCATCAACAAGATCATTAATAAATCAATATAATCCATTACATACAATATCAATTCATAAATTATATACAATAGATTTAGATATATCTGCTAAATGGATTGTTTCATCAATAGCAGATCGAATATTTATATGTGATAATGAAGGTGAAGTACGTATTTTTTCATATTCTCGTCGTCGTCGTCGACAACCATTATTAACTGAACGTTTTCATTTATTAAATATACGTCTTATATCATCATTTACTGTTACACATGATTATTTAATTGCATTTGAAAGTGATACACAAATGATTACATTACATACACATCATGGTGGATTACTTGTTCGTTTAAATTTTTCATATGATCCTATAATGATTGTTCGTTCTGATTATTTAACAAAAAATCAAATTTGGTCATGTAGTCGTACAAAACGTCAATGTTTTCAATTTGATATAAATCATATAACAAAAGAAATAATTCCACTTGAACAATTAGATTTTAAATATTCAATATCAAATATTTTAATTGATCCTATTGGTATATCAAGTGATGAACAAGGTCGTATTGCTGTACATGATATTAATGAAGTAACAACTGATCGTTTATTAATTTTTACAAATGATCAAAATATGATTATACCACTTGATTCAATAAAATATGCTGATCGACAAATATCATCTCAAATTGAACGTGTTTTATTAGTACCAAAACAATCAAATTTAATTGTTATACTTTATGCACCACAATCAACAATAACAAATTTACATGAAATTGTTATTGTTGATATAGAATTACGACCAGCACGAATACTTTATCGTCTACAAGAAGTAAATGGTATTGAAAATATTGATGTAACATTAAATGGTGAATTAGTTTATAGTGTTACACCACCAGTAAATAAACGAATCATACCAAAAATGCATATTTATAGTTTAATTAATTAATTAATTGACTTATCTTTTACGAATATAACACAAAATTGATGCAGGTTTTTTCACGCTTGATAAAGAAAAAAAATAAAAAAATAAATTCTTGTAATTATTATTTTGATCCATAAAGCATTATCATTTTTTCATATAGTTTTGCAAAAGTATATCATCGATCCTATCGAATAGAATATAGTTCCTGTTCTACAAAAGTATTATGGTAAAGAATGATGTTAACTATAAAATAATAAACAACTTCAACTTTTCTAATTCATGAGAAATGATGTGAGGGGAAAGACAATATTGAAAAGTTTTTTTCTAACTTTATAGCTTTTTATGTTTTACTACTTGATGATAAAAGGATCGTTTGAGCAGGTTTTTTAGACTAGTCCCGATCCAAGATAGATTGTCTATTGAAGAGATGCAAATTTGTTCCCTTCTTTTTTTCTCGATCTGAAACATCAAATGAACACGAATTAAAACCTGCTCAAACGATTTTTTTATCATCAAGTAGTGAAATATAAAAAGCTATAAAGTTAGGAAAAAACTTTTCAAAATTATCTTTCTTTTCACATCATTATTCTTTTGAGCTGGAACTTTCAAATGATCAAGACCATTGATTGGAATAGACATAACAAAAATTTCAGTCTAATACGTCGTTGCTTCTTCGAGAAAATTAAGATTGAGGAGTAAAACTGGAAATTTCGCTCATAACTCATACTAGAAGCAACTTGCGTCCGAATCAACTTAGGGTATATCACTCCTAGCTATCCTCTATCTAACCATCATATCCCCAATCGAAGAGATTTTTAGTAACTCTGGTGGTTCCTTCGTAAGTATATAGAATGAGAAGTCACAGAGAATTTTTGATTATCAAGTGAGCTATTTTTAACCCTTGTTTGATCAATATCTCTCTAAAACGTCTTGATATAGAGCTGATAATTTTAGTATGGCTGCTTATTTATAGCTCCAATATATTCGAAAATTTTTATACGATTTGAATATATCTAGTCCAAGATCGATTTTTGAAGATGAAGGCATGAAAATGAATATTACTCATTGTATTTATTAAAAATAGAGTAAGTAACAAGTGTTCTAGAAATAATGGCGCCATTTCAGTTTGGAGTTCTCTCATTCAGTTTTTTGAGCTAGCAACTTTTTTTTTTCTCAGAAGATGTGTCTTTCAATTTTCTACACAAAAAAATTTTGTTTGATTGAACATTGTCCCAGTTCATCTGATGAGTAAATCCATCTCAAATAGAATAGTCTGCCAGATTCAAATCCAGATTATTTGGAAGCAAACAGTGTTTGTCTAGGATTCATGAAAAATTTTCTTGGCATCATTCTTGCGACAAATGAAGTATATGTGGTTTGCCATATGTCAATGCTACTGGCAAGACATCTTTGATTTATATCTTCCATAATATACCGTTCTTTGTTCAAAGTCACCAATAGAGCCAAGCCTTTTGAACAATGCTTTCAACCAGACCATAACGATTCTGAGCAAACTTTAATTTTTGCTTCATATTACCTATTAGAGGATTCTTTGGACAAGTTTTTCTCTTTCATTTTCAAATATATGAATACACAGACACAACATGCATCGTATCATCTGAACAAGAGAGAAAAACGCAGATAGATATATATCATCACAAATATCTAGAGTTTAACGCAAGAATAAATACAACAACGCATAGCCATATGCAATCGAAGAAGATATCACATTAAAAGAAAAAGATGATCTAACATCAAGAAAGAATAATATCATATCCAAGGAAGAAAAAATCTTTTTATCAGTTTCGGAACGATTTACTGTTTGTGCACGATCAATGCCTTTGTGTTTAAAAGTGTCGAATTAGCAAAGAAACGTATTGTTGGTGATCCATTTGATTCTACAACTGTACAAGGACCATAGGTATAAGAAAGCATTTCAAGCAAAGTGTCATAATCTAAACTATGGAAAAAACATACCGATTGAGGATTCAGAAAATAATTTGATAAGACAACAGATTAGCATTGATTTCTTTTGTGTATTCTACAAAACAGTCATACTTAATTAGAAACAATTCTTGAATGTATTCGATTGGGTAAAAAAGTTGGTGATAAAGGTTATTTTACTCGACATATTATTTTTACTAATGTAAAAGATGATATGAAAATAGCTGGTGAAGAAGTTTGTCTTTTTTTTTTCTCTTTTCTTTATTTCATTGAAATCGTTTTCTTCTATTTAGAATATCTCTTGGTTTCAACGTATTTTCCCATTAGTCGATCCATCGGATATATTCAGCAACACCATCGAAATTCTTATCTACATTGGAATTGGAATCATTGGTTGAATAATACAAATAGTTTAAGTTTGATGTAAGAAACTTAGATACAATGCCATACTTCTCTAACGTCTGACGGTGCTTGACTGCAAACGTAGATCTTTCTACTAAAACATTGAACCTCATATGGTATGAAGTGAAACTTAAGACAAAAAAACAGACCATGCAAATTGTACGCTACAGTCTATTCAAATGATTACCTTTTTATTTCTTTTTCTAATTTACTTTATGAGTGTTAGACGAGGGTCCACTAGAATACCAGACAATATGGCTGGAGTAAAATTTTTGATTTTGGCTTTAACTATCTTAAAATAAAGGTCGTATATAGATATTACTAAATCCGAAATATTAACTCGATCTGATAATGATTCATTGAATTATGATGTATATCATAGTAACAGGCCTTATAGAGTTATAATGCAAAATGATAATTTTTATTTTTGGTACTTTTTAATATATTGTAGAACTACAGCATTATTCCACGAATTAATATATTGTTGATTATTGTCAAAAGGAAGAGCATCTTTTTTTCTGTCGACTTCACACAAGCATCATTTTATAGGAAAAAAAGGTTTAATACGATGATTTTTTAATGAAAAAATGTATGGTTTTTCCTATCATGTTTTTTTGCGTTTTTTTAAAGTATTTTGACCTTTGAATTAAAAAATGGGGTTTCTCAGGAATTTTATGATATCAGAAGATAGCCCGTAAAAAATTCTATCTTCTACGTGAAAATATCTAAGAAAAATCATGGCTGGCTCAATCAATTTTTTTCAACAAAGTTCATCACGATGTATTTTTTATGCTGATTATAAAATGCTTTCATTGTTTCTTGATGTTAATCATTTCTCATTCACGATTCGATCTATAAGTTCATTTAACAAGCATAACTACATCGAGTAGAATGTCAGAGCCATCTTTCTAATGATACTCCTATATATATATAAATGTGGTCGACCAAGTGAGCCTCACAGTGCGTAAATCCTAAATTTCGAGTTCACTTCACGCCAGTCCATTTTTATACCTAACAGTACATAGTAGGATTCTATCAATTGCAGCCATAGGCTATGAGCACATTATGTGATTGTAAGCTAGTTAATTAATTAGTACCCAACTAATTATAACTAATTAGTGAGAGTACTCAATTAATCAGCACTAATTAAGGCCACTAATAGTTAGGGTAAGCATAGTTTGCAATATACATCTGTAAAGTTTTCAGAGCTATTAGGATCATTGTTGAATGCGTTAGGAAATATTGGGTTCATGAGTAATGTAAGAAATGTGTACTTGAATTTTGCTTTAGCAAGTAAGAGTAAACTTTTTTGTTAGCTGAAGGTAATTGAGTCACGTGATAGAGTGTCTTCGATATACAAGTAGTATATGCGGCGGAGAAAATGTTTGAAAATTTAGGTAAACTTTGAGCTCTTGTGTAGTTAAAGATCGATTGATCATTAGGTGCGCAACAGACCTGGCTCATGCGAACAAAGCTGGCTGACTAGTTCTAGCTTAGCGAACTGAGCTGAATCTATGATACACCTACTTACGGTTGCCGCTGCAGGATAGGGCTTTATTATGGATACTCCTATATAATAGTCCTTGAGTGCCTGCAGCACAGTCGGAAGTTTTCGCATAAGCAGGCGAATATACAATTTTTTTGCTCAGAAATAAACATATATCATTCAGAGAATCGTCTTTCAGAAAACAGAGAGTTTTTAAGAAAAAAATTTACGACAAAATCTGGCTGGGGAGTAGTACCTCAGCCATAATTTTCCGAAGAAAATTTGTTTTGAAAAATATGTTGAGCTACATATCACTCGAAGTAGTGTAATGCGTTCATTCCGAATATCACCATAGCTTTTCTTTAACGAGTAATATCAGTGCCAAAAATCGGATTTCCTACTGTAAAATAGCTTAGGAAAGGTTTCATAAGTTTGCGCCACGATCATAAGTAGGTTACATATGTAAGAACGTCTGATAAAAATGCGCGCTCGATTCAACTTTTTTTCTTTGTAGTACTTACAATATATGGAACGATATGTTCTCAGATAGGTTTTGAATCTCGAGATCCTTTGTCTTCTACTCTGTTTTAAATTGGATTTGGATCAGTTTTTTTAAACATAAGGTCTACCCATGAGAAAGATTTTTGTGATATTCTTTGCTTGTGCAATATTATTTCATATTGCCTAGCAGCTTGATTTTCTTTATTTATGCTGATTTCTGGGGCGCAAGCCTTGGCGAGCTCTTTTCTTGGGCTTTATAAAACTTTGAGGACCACTATTTTAGGAAATGATAGATCATATATGCATGTATCTACGCAAATCGTTAGATTCTAGAAACGAATATTTTCGCACATGTCCGCCTAGTTCCCCACTGTAACAGCCATCAACGCTTGCTGATTCAGCGTTACTTCACCTGTGTATTGACTTTGTGTTGTTCTACTTGTAAGTTGAATAAAACCCACTGATGACAACTAACAAAGTGCTCCATTCTTCATTTTCTTATCAAATATTTATTATGCGAGTGAAGACTGCTATTCAAGTGTGTTGTGTGCAAAGTCATCGACTTTCCGCGAAAGAGGAATAAAAGTATGTGCGCCAACCAACTTTTTTCTCTCTTTCTGTGATTAACTCCTGCAACACAAACGACATACTGTATCATTGTTAAAAAACAAAACAAGAATTCATGGTGTCTTCTCGAGCCTGTTTGAATACATAATATATTCATTGTAGACTTCTTAACTGATTGGTGATCAAACAACATGAAAATAAAACTTTTGAAAAGTTCTTTTCTCAAATCGATGCGAATCTTTAAGAAGAGCTCGTAATGGTACAAGACTCTCATGGAAAAGTCTCCAAGGAATCCATGCCGTTTTTGTTGATATTTTGCCTATATGTAGGGTTCGATGAGATTAGAAAAAACTTAAAAGAATAACAGCCCATAGGCTTTCCTTCTCAAGTTATGATCATTTTACTTAGTTTACCACCTAGGACAAGGGATTCAGCAAAAAATCAAATTGAGAAATTTCGATCTGAAATTTTGTCCTCATGCAAGTCTTATGGCCAATATATTATCTTAAAAGATCCAGCCAAAGCGAACGTCTCTTTCTCGAAATATTGCGTTATCAAGAAAACATTAACATGCTACATACATGTCAGGAAAATCGACTCTATGGAAAAATCAATATTTCACGACAGAAGCATTTGTTTTGACTGCAACCTTGAGCCTAATATATAGGTCATAAGACTTGCATGTGTATGAAAGTTGATTTTTCACTGAATCCCTTGTCATAGGTGATAAACCAAGTAAAATGATCATCACCCGAGAAGGAAAATTTATGCGCCGTTATCTTTTTAGACTTTTTTCTAGTATCATCAAACCATACATATGGGCAAAATATCAACAAAAACGGCGTGCATCCGTTGGAGGACTTCTTTTTTCAGTAATTTTGATGTTAACCTTGTAGAATTCTAGTCTGTAGTCGACTTACTAATGATCAAAGAGCTAGAATGAAATGAGTCGTACAAGAGTACCCTTCGAAATAAGATAAAAAGTAAAATCAATGGCTGGTTCGAAGGGATTGGAAATTTTCAAAATACAAGTTACAAGGAGACGCTATCTATCTTGACATGAGTGCGTGAAGAGGCCTGACATCATTCACGCCAACTGTAACCATTATTCTACTGTTTCACATGATCGACAAGGTTTTTAACTTGAAGAAGAATGAAGGCATGAGGGTGTGGGTATGGCTTGGATGTGAGTGTGGATGTGGCTTAGATGTGGGTGTCGGTGTCGGTGAACGTGGGCGTGCTTGCTGAAGAGAAGACTCACACGCACACCCATGCCCACCGATATCCGCGCCTACATCGACACCCACAACCAAGTTCATGTCACTCGCTTCTGCTCTCACATTCACACACACACTCCCACATAGCCATCCACTACTCATAATTACAGCTGTACCAACCCACATCGACACCCACCTGGAATCGCAGCTACAACCACATCCATCAGCACCAATCCACACCATACACCCACGGTCACATCCACCCATACTCACATTCGGAAACCCATCTACCTAGACACACACATCCCAACATAAGATCGCACTAGTCTACAAATTTATGATGATGATACCTCTACTTATTGTGTTTGTATCGTTCTTCTTGCTATCTCATTCTTCTCATTATATTTACAAATGCTTAATTTCTTCTAATCTTCTATTGTCAATCTCATTTTATGGGGACAATAAAAGTTAATGTAAAAAAAGAGCAAACTAAAGTTGGAAAGAATAACCATAAAAATAAATTATGTTGTTGGATTGTTTGCTTTTGTTTGCTTTTGACAAGCATATTTTCAATTGGAAGTAGGTGGGGTTTATCTTTAAGTATCAACGAAAAAAAATGCGCACCCATATTTGACGTCATAGAATAATCTAGAAAAAAAACATCCAATATCGAATGTATAAATAGAAAACAGTGGTCTCTATCCAAACAACAATTGATCCTTCACGATATTCAACCGTCGAGCAAACGTCAAAAACAACATCGAAAATGAACAGACAACGGCGACTACGAATGGCTGAAAATTACCTGGTCATCTGGGTCGATGGTACTATTGACATGGCAAATGAAGATTGCCAGAATACACTCGCGAAATTGCGCAGTGTTGTTAATGAAGTCAACCCATGCACCACGGCCGACCAATGCATCCAGAAACTCCAGGAAAACAAAGAGGAGACATCATTTGTCATCTCCTCAGGTGCATTAGGACAACACCTAGTACCAGAAATTCATGGCATGCCAAAACTGGATGCGATATACATCTTTTGTGGCAACAAACAACGTCACCAAGAATGGGCTAAAAATTGGCCCAAAATTAAAGGTGTGCATACATCAATCAAGCACATCTGTGAAAAACTGGCACTAGCTGTCAAACAATGCAACCAAGATCAAGTAACGGTCAGTATTATTGGTGTCAATGAAGGAGGCTCTAGCGAAAATCTCAATCAGCTAGAGCCTTCCTTCATGTATACCCAAATATTCAAGGAAATTCTCCTTGACATGGAACATGACCAAACAGCCATTAAAGACTTGGTCACATATTGCCAAGAACAATACCAAGGCAATCCCAAAGAACTCAAATTGATCGATGAATTTCAACGTACTTATCATCCAACATTGGCCTTATGGTGGTATACACGCCAATGCTTCACATACAAAATGCTCAATCGAGCATTACGAACATTGGATGGCGACATTATCATCCGAATGGGATTTTTCCTGTGTGATGTTCATCGACAAATTGAAGAATTACACAGCCAACAGGTCAGTCAGTATCATGGGAAGTCCTTTTTAGTTTATAGGGGCCAAGGATTATTGACAAGCGACTTCGATAAACTCGAAAAAAACAAAGGTGGTCTCATATCTTTCAACAACTTTTTATCCACCAGTACAAAACGAGATGTTTCCCTCGGTTTCGCCAAAGATGCATTAGGAACAACCGATATAGTCGGCATCCTCTTTCAAATGACAATAGATCCTACTGTCTCATCGACTCCTTTCGCCTCCATCCAGGAGGTGAGTTATTACAAGGAGGAAGAGGAATTTCTCTTCTCCATGCATACCGTTTTTCGAATTGATGAAGTTCGAAAAATTGATAAGAAAAGTCCACTTTATCAAGTGGACCTCAAACTTACGTCTGATGATGATCAACAACTTCGCCAATTAACCGACCGTATACGAGAAGAATCTTCAGGTAGCACTGGATGGTATCGAATGGGTCAATTGCTGCTCAAAATTGGTCAATTTGACAAGGCCGAAGAATTGTACATGGCACTACTAGAACAAGCATCTGATGACAGCGATAGAGCACATATCTATCATATGCGTGGAATGATGAAAAATAACAAAGGGCAATATACAGAAGCAGCTTCATTTTATGAAATGTCTCTTAAAATTAAACAAAAAACTCTTCCAGAAGATCATCCTTCATTAGCTCCTACATATAGCAACATCGGTTTGGTGTATAACAACATGGGTGACTACTCGAAAGCACTTGAATTTTACGAAAAATCACATAACATAAAAGAAAAAGCTCTGCCTTCGAATCATCCCGATTTGGCTACTTCCTACGCTTGCATCGGTCTAGTGTATAACAACATGGGTGACTACCCGAAAGCACTTGAATTTTACGAAAAAGATCTCGAAATCACGAAAAAAGTTCTGCCTTCGAATCATCCCGATTTGGCTAATTCCTACGGCAACATCGGTCAAGTGTATAACAACATGGGTGACTACTCGAAAGCACTTGAATTTTACGGAAAAGATCTCGAAATCGCGAATAAAGCTCTGCCTTCGAATCATCCCGATTTGGCTATCTCCTACAATAACATCGGTGAAGTGTATAGAAACATGGGTGACTACTCGAAAGCACTTGAATTTCACGAAAAAGCACTTAAAATCTACGAAAAAGCTCTGCCTGCGAATCATCCCAATTTGGCTACTTCCTACAACAACATCGGTTTGGTGTATCACAACATGGGTGACTACTCGAAAGCACTTGAATTTTACGAAAAAGCACTTAAAATAAGAGAAAAAGCTCTGCCTTCGAATCATCCCGATTTGGCTAGTTCCTACAACAACATCGGTATGGCGTATTCCGGCAAAGAAGACTACTCAAAAGCACTCTCATTCTTAGAAAAGGCACTTTCTATCTTGCAAAAATCACTTCCACCTAGCCATCCTTATATTATAATGGCCACAAACTCAATTGACAATGTAAAAAAGAAAATGTAACTGTAATTTTTTCTTTTCGCTTGCTCAATAAATTTATTCACATTGCTAATCATTTCGATTTTTCTCGGCTCATTTTGACTTACCCGCGCGCGCGCGACAAGGGAGAGATCCCTCGTCAATGCCATAGGTACCACAGGCGGACCACGCCGGACTGGTAGGGCAATGGCCGAAGGTATGGCCGTATGAACGGTAGGGACCAACGACACATAGAGGTCTTCCCTATTATTACACTGCTTCGCTATGGCACGAAAGTTCCTGTCCCTATTGAATCAGACAACGTAGTTCTCTGACCCACACTAATAACACTCATAACTCAACTCATCTCATCTCAAAAGTACTCATACTCATACTCATAATAACTGACAGTATTTATTTTTTCTCAAAATAACTTACTTCAACTTAACTCAACTGAATATGTAAAAAAAAATTTTTTTCTTACCTCTCAATATTGTATAGTATCGAAACTCATCTAAAAAAGAATAAAAAAAAAAGTTTTATTAAATATATAATGAATTTATTATTTACCTCATATAGAATTTAATAATATAATTAGGAAGTGGCTATGTACACTCAAGTGCACATAGCCGTGTGGCTATGTACACTCAGGTGCACATAGCCATGTGACTATGTACACTCAGAAAAATTAAATCAATTATTTAATAAATCTCAAACTATATATAATCTTTATATTTAATCATTAATATGAATAGGATATTGAAACTTATTTTTAATTTTACTTTATAAATCATTTATTATTATCAAATAAGTTACAAATCAAGTTTTATAATTAAATACTGATAGAAAAAAAACTAATATTAATTAAATACAAATCAAGTATGAAAAATTAAAAAAAAATATGTAAATAATCTAATTTAGATAGAGATCAACTAATTTACAATTGTTTCTAGTACTTCCTCTTTTAGGCTTTGAAGGAAATTGTTGTAGTTTATTATTCTTAAAATATTTACAGAAAATTACACTGAATCAATGGTTGTCTTGTCTATTGAAAGCATATTTTTTCTGATGATTGATAATGGAAAGAAATATTAAGCTTTTTTCTTAATTAATTGGCTTACAAAATAGGACATGAACATACACAAATAAGCTAATTAGCGTTCAATCTGAGAAGAATGTTCTATGTTAAGATACACTAATTAATTTTCATTCAATCTTTACTTTATTGTTCTTTATTACCACTTCCAAAGCGAATGCACCAATACAGCTTTCTCATTTATAAAGATAACTATATACCTATCCATTATTACGAAGTCTATTACGTTATCATCCTTCAACATAAACATTCTATTTGTTTAATTATACGTTTGTATTGGCGAATTATTTTTGAATCTTGATTTAATATTCAACAGTAAATAATTCTTTCAGCGGGAGTCCTCTAACAAAATATGGAAGAAGATAAAGATTTATTCTTCACGAAACAGTTCGACAATTGGGAACATTTTGAAGAACAATTTATAATGTGGTGCAATCGTTATCATCAGCCGGTGAATATTAAACGTTCATCAAAGAAGTATAATGAAAAAACAATGCAGGAATTATTTGATCGTTTTCGTTACGAACACGTGAAGTATGTTTGTCATCATAGTGGTCCTGTCAGAAGAAATATAAAAGATGGTTCAAGACCAAATCAAGAGTCAGCGCGAATTGATTGCGAATTCTTTTTTAAAATAAAGCACGATACGGAAATCAATAAAATTATTTTTACGAAAATCAAAAACTTAAAACATAACCATCCGATAGATGAAAGAATTTACAAAAATTATTCGTTTATAAGAAATAAAGAGTTAGAAGAAAATGAAGAAGCATACGACTTATGCAAAACATTAATTACTGCGAATACATCAACATATAATAATCGAAAAATATTGAACAAAAAATTTGATATTAATTTAACTAGAAAAGATATAAATAATTTTAAACAAAAGATGAAATTTAACCTCATCGGAAATCGAACCGATCCAGAATTATTGCAAATTTGGATAGATGAAATTTTAAATGAAAATCCAAATAATTCGATCCAAATAAAACTTAATGAAGATGGAAATCTAGAATGCTTATACATTCAGACTATACAAATGAAATCATGGTTTGAAAAATATCCGAATATATTACATCTAGATTCAACGTTCAAAGTTAATATTGAGAACTATCAGTTGTACATATGTATGGCGCAAAATGCAAATTTAAGAGGAGTACCTGTTGCCTATTGTTTAATGACCAGTGGAAATAAAAATAATTTAGAATTTTTTTATTCTGCAATGCGCGACTATAATGATTTACAACAAACGCAAGTTGTTATGGTTGATAAAGATTTGACAAACATCGATATTTTACAACATCATTTTGACAAAGCACGAATACTACTATGTGTCTTTCACGTTCTGAAATATTTAAAAGTACGGGTTCACGAACTAAAAATTTCATTACTGAACCGAATGAATATTATGAAAAATATTCGTAGACTGCTTTATGATAATGATCAAATGTCGGCGATTTATTTGAAAGAAATTAAAATCGAATCAGAAGGAACTGATTTTTATCAATATTTTGAATTAAATTGGTTGTCGTGTTGTGAAATGTGGCAAACCAAACATCGGAAAAATCTATTCAACTTCGATACAGATACCAATAATCACCTGGAACGATTTAACCGAACATTAAAAGATCATATATTACCTAATATGCATATATCGGAATGTGTAGCAAAATTAATATTAGCTGTGGAGGACGCCAGAGCTGAAGAAATGAATACATATATAAACTTGAAACAAAAGATTTATAATGGTAATGATTCAACTTTGGTTCAACGATTTGGTTCTCAACTAATAAACAAAGCCATCGATCTATTGCGTAAACAAAATGATGAGTTGAAACAAAAACATTATTTCATAGAAGAACTTGAAGATAATAGATGGAAAATCGGCCAAAAAGATGAAGAGAAAAACCATTTTATAACTTCAAGTATCATTCATCGTGATTCATACGAAGATCTAGTGTTTTGCAATTGCGAGTTTTTTTTACAGAATCAATTACCATGCCGACATATTATATTTTTGTTTGACAGATTGAATGATGAAATATTTGATCAAGCGAACAGGATTCAAGAAATTATATCAATTAATAAGCGATGGTTAAAAGCTACAGTTGATCATTATCTAAACGAAATCGCACATTACGATAATAAACTAAGTTTCAATTCACAATACAAAATAACTCAAATGGCACTTAAAAAGACCAACACTTTAAGTAGCAATGACAAGTATAACATCGTAAAGCCAACTTTGGATCTCTTGACAGCTCGTATAACTCAATACGGAACCGATGAATTTCATGACCATGTTAATTTTCTGAATGTTGTTTTAGATTTGATCAATGTAAATAAACATAAACAGTTGTACAATTACGCAACCAATTTGAAAAAAAATGACACGAAGCAATCGGATTGTGAAACGGAACGAGAAATCGTTACAAATTTACGTGTTGATATACATCAAGGACCATCAACAAAAGAAGCAATATTTAACGGTGAAGAAAAAGTTGAAAAACAACAAGAAATGAATATTAACCTAGAAGTACTGGAACAAGAACATGAAATGAAATTATGTGATGAACACGAAGAAGATTTACCAAGTTCAGAATTGAAACAAGAAGAAGCAGCAAAAGATGAAGAATATCAATCATTATCAAAACAAAAGTTGGTTTTAAGTTATTCACCAGTTATCAATCCTCGAGGTCGACCGCGTGGTAAGACATCGTTGGTTTCTTATACGCAAAAAGACAATAAAATTGCTCCAGAAAAAAATAATAAAAGAACTTATAATCAAGTTTCACCTGATCTTAAAACATATAAATATAAACGTAATAAAAAAATCGAATCTGTTCGGGATGTGTACGATAACACAATGTGGCTAACCGATTTACATATATACTTATTCTTTGAATTACTACATAAACGATTTCCAAATATTAATGGCTTATGCGGTCCTGCACAAATACATTTATACACAGGTTCATTAGAAAATTCGATCTTTATTTTCAATGCAAACAATAATCATTGGTTAACAATTGCAAATTTAGGCTCTGATAATATTTGGAAAATTTATGATTCTCTATCTTATCCAAAAGAATCATTAGTTAAATTTTTTCAAGACATATTACCTGGTAAAGAGAGAGTTGTTTTATCATTTGAAAATGTACAGCAACAAGTTGGTGGTAATGATTGTGGGTTGTTTGCATTGGCTTTTGCCACGTCTCTTTGTTATGAAGATATTCCATCATCGTTATTTTATGATCAGAAATCTTTACGTAATCATTATGTTAATTGTATTGAAAATAATGAAATACAACGATTTCCTTCAAAGCCTAAAAGAGGAAGTACTAGAAACAATTGTAAATTAGTTGATCTCTATCTGAATTAGATTATTTCTATATTTTTTTTTATTTTTCATACTTGATTTGTACTTAACTAATATTATTTTTTGTCTATGAGTATTTAATTGTAAAACTTGATTTGTACTTAACTAATATTATTTTTTTTCTATGAGTATTTAATTGTAAAACTTGATTTGTACTGAATTAATATT